GCCAACCTTTTCTTTCGCTGCTGAGGAGGAAATCGCAGCGGCGAATTCTCGAACTAATAAACTGGAAAGGATAAAAGTTCTTCCTTGAAGAAAATATCCACAGCTGTCAAGGTAAGAAAAGACGTAGCTTAGCAAGCTAACCGTTAGCTACAACATATGAAGCGCATAAACATCATAATAAAGAAGCCTAATTTAGTGTGCTACATTATTTGGAGTGTTTGAGACAGACATGATATAAAATTTTTAATTATATTTTTATGAGGTTCCATTAGTGCCAAACAAATGTTTATGAGTGTATGTAGCGTGCTGTGTATACAGTATGTAAGGTGATGTGTTAAGTGAATCAATCTACAATCTATTACTTGTTTAAAGCTAAATATGTTATAACAAGTATTAATTTATATATATGTGTGTGTGTGCTAAAAACAGATCTATTTTAGATCTCACTGGGTGTTGAAAAAAGAAATGTTGGCTTATTTCTGTAGAAGTGCAGCTGGTAAAGGTTTTTGTAACCATGTAGTTGTACTTTTGTTTTTTTTTACCAGACTGCACACTACTCCCAACTCCAGCTGCCAACTGGTCCTCCTGTACTGGCCCGCACAAGAGATTTACAAAGAAGGCACAGACAAAGAACACAGGTAAAACAATAAAATAAGAGTGGAACACATTCTTTTCTGTTATATTATTTAGTATATGATGGTTATGATTCTCATCACAATAACTGTAATAACTTTCCCACCTGTATATTATTAGTGCCATGTGAAATTTGTCATAGTCTCAATATTTCTTGGGTCAAATATATTTTTCTCTCCTAACTTGTTTAGAATTGTTTGTTTTTGTAGGTAATGAATAAATGCAGTTTCAACCTCTATGAATTAGTAATATTTGCAAGTAAAAATCTTAACTCTCAAATCTGTCCCACTGTGTCCTACCAAATTGCTCACTTGTCTCTTTACATTTATTTATTTATTAGTTTGACATATTTTTATGTTTATTTCTTGAAAGGGAATCCATCCTGAACCTGCCAGCGAGGTGGTGGTGGTGCGAAAGCCCAAAACTGTGGTGAAAAGATGTTTGCACTCCACGCTTTACAGAGCTTTCACAGGTATAACCTTTGGGTTAATGTTTTTATGTCCATGTTTCCTTTGTCAAAACTTATTGTGATTCTGTCACTCGTGTGTTTGTTGGACCACTTCCAGATCCTGACATCCTGGCATCGGGAGAAAAACTACACCAGCTGGAGTCCCAACCACTTATCGCACTTATCCTAGAGATGGTCTCTCAGCTTTGGAGCTGGTACCATCCAGACTTGGGCCTGTGCCACAGGGCTCACTGAGGTCTCACCAGTGCCCACCTGAGAAGTCCTGCGTAGCATCATTCTGCACCACATGGCTCCAGACCTCCTTGCTCTTCCTTCGATGCGGCATAGTCTTCCCAACATGTGTTTTGTGCCCACACTCGATCAACTTATGCATCTTCAGTCTCTGCAAGTGTCACATGAAGTACAGGCCAGAACCAGGGAGCAGTCCAGATGTCCTACGTGGGTACAGCTTCGACAACCAAGGCTTACTGCTAGCCATTTCCGCTTTCCGTGTTGCTTACAGAGGAAGTCCGGAGGAAGAGTCTGCTGACATAGCACTGGCAGCTCAGATGATCAGGGGGTACACTAAACAATAACTGTTGAACGGTATTGTAGATGAACATATATCTGTGATATATTCATAAATTAAACGGATTCATTTATTTTTCTGGACTGAATAATATCGTGCATTGAATAATTAAATGTAACGTGAGACGTTAATTTTCTTTGACCCATCAAATGAATGCGGTCATTTATTAACAGAATCAAAGTTTAACATCAAACATTTACATTAATTTGGCAATTTGATTACAATAACAGCTTAATTAATTAACTTCACAACTAGAAAACCATACGGCCATGGTTTCCCTTGCAACTTTAAACCAACAGACATTTCTGAAAATATCTGGATTAATTACTGGCAGGATAGAAGAGTTTTAAAGAGGGAAAGTGAAGTTTATCTTGAGAGAGATGGGTGAGGGAATTTGTCTGTTATAACCAGAACAACACGCTCCTTTGGACCCAGCTTAACCAACGGTACACTTTGCGGTTGAAGATCGACTCTTTTACCTTTGCAGACGATAGTTCGGCCTCGGTGTAGAGCTCTCTTCAAACGCTTTCCAGCATCTCCGTAAGGATAGTAGGGAACCGTTTGGAGTCGTGAGATCATCCCAGAACAGACTTCTTCATAGTTCCTCTGAACTTCTCTCGTTCAGCTTAGTTGCCGTTGTTCTCCAGCATTCTGAACTCTGCACTCTCTGGAACTCTATTCCAGCATTCTCCCGCACTCTCCTGGAACTAGGAAGTGTTGAACCTTTTAAAGAGGTCACTTCCGGTTCCTCTGAGAGCTTCCTGATTGGTCGATCGACCGAACAGGAGGTGGTTTTAGTGATGTAAGAGGTTATTAAAAGTCAAGGAAAAAGATTAAGTTTGTTTAAGAACAGACAGAAAATGTTTTGAAGAACCCGAGACTTTGTGGAGTCAATTCTCTCATATCTGCCTGATAAAGTTAAACATGACATTTCTTTCCAGTAAACTTGTAGTTGACCAAAACTTGACCTTTGACCAACTTACACTTGCTCATTTCAGACAGAAGATCAAGAAAATGAATAATTACTCTTGTAACAAACATTAAAATGATTTCTACTTTGAATGAGAATTGAAAATCACAATACTGTTTCACAGTTGATTTAAAATGAGTAGTTCACTTCAACATTTAAAATGGTTTGAACTAAACACACTTTGATTATCAAAACATTTGTAAAATAGTAATGATAATAAAAAGAGAGTGTTCTTTCAATTGATCAGTGCAGGACACTTAGAAATTCTCTGGGTGGACTTGATTTTGTGTTTCTGGACTCAAATCAATGAAATACATTTCTTGTCCCAGGAAGGCCCTCAAGGTCAGGATTTGACCTGAGGCTTAGTTCACTACAGTCCCCCCTTTGGAAATCATCGCCTGTCCATGGGGATGAATTCCAACATGAACTTACGCCTTCGAATGTCCTTGAGCTTGATGTAATCCAGCAAGGAAAACAAAAGTCAAAGGAGGTAATCCCACAATGTTTTTGGTAATTCCATTGTGTTGATGGTAATTCCATAATGTTGTTGGTAATTCCATTGTAGCAATGCTTTAACCCCTTGGAAACAGAGTCTGTAATCCATTGGAAAAAGTCATATAATCCACAACGGTAAATCCACAACGAATGGAGGTGTTGATTGATCAGCATACAGAGGGGTTCCCTTGGATTGAACGGAAGATGCGGCCACTGGATGAAGAGTGGAGACCAACGTCAGGATTGCAGGTCTCCTCCAGCGAAGGTCATCGCTGGATGGCGTCCAGTCGGTGCCGTTCTGGTTCAATGTGTCATGCAATTATGTGGTTTAAGGTGGGCTTATGAAGGGGATTTTACATAAGGCCTTAACCTATATGTACCTGGTGTGTAAGCTATTATGATTGGGAACAGCTATAGCTACCAGTTAAAGGGTGGAACATGCTGAAAAGGGTAACTATAGGGGTTTATACCTATAGAAGGGCATTCCAAACAATTTTTCCATTCCTAACTTGGTTTAAGTTAGCTTTACATGGTAAAATATAGTTTGGTTCAATTGTCTGTTGTCTTTTAGACGAACGACTTGAGATTGGGTGTTTGGTTTCCCCATAAATGTTTT